AAGAATTGTTTTTGCAGTAATTTTTATGAGTTTTACTAAACATTTATGTTACTTTTAATTTGTAATAAATTTGTGTAGAATATGAGTATAATAGTAATATCTATAACAGAATAATTATATATGTAGTCGTGAGAAAATAATGTGATCCATTACTATATAGTGTAGAGACGTTATAGTTGCAAGATCCTTCTATTGACTGACACTTGGTTACAGTTCAAGTTTCAATTTTTATTTGGACTGTAGAAACATAGCAAGTCTTAATCTCTCTAATTAACTGGTTAACTTTGAATTGTTGCTAGAAAATAAATTGTTCGATTACTATTTATTGAAGGGATGTTATAGTTGCAGTGCCCTTGGTATATAATTAGAGTGATCCCCGGTACAATTCAAGTTTCAATTTTCATTTGGTTGTTGCCTTTTGAGTACTAGGTTTGATTGTGGGTAGATAGCCTCCACACCAGAGAAGAAAAATTCCACAAGAATGGCCAGCATGTTGCAACTAAAACAAATCTTGTTTCCAACACTTCAATGTGTAGTTGCTTTGTTGCGTTTTCTCTCCGCTTCGTGATCTTGAAAAGAAATTACCGACCATAAAAGACAACATTGTTATCTATCCTTCTCCAGGAAGAGGCCACCTGGTTAATGCTGTCACTACGATGCTAATTTTGTTTTCAATTTTTGACTTCTTCGGCTTACTTTCATTTGCATCATGATCTAAATATAATTTCTTTCTCCGTAAGTGATGCTTTAGGATCACCTTTTTCCTCCTAGGAACCCATTAGCTGTATCTGCTTACTTTTCTTTTGCTCCTATCAAACTTCAAGGCTGTCCATGAAAATGAGAATTGAGATTAATTTACAGAAGCAGAATTCGGGGTTGGCAAGAGGACTCTGCTCCTGAGTTTTCCTTCTGAGCTTGAGGTAGTTAGCTTCTGAGGCTTATGAGGATTGGCAAGTCTTTTAATTTTGTGGCAGAGTTTTGGTTGAGTTTCACCTTGGCAGTAATATTTGTTAATTTTGTGAAACAGTATATACAATTTTAAAATCATAGTGAATTATATTAGCAATTATAAGACCTATTGATGAAATCTAATTTGAGCTTTATTAATGGTCTAGGGTTAACATGCTTGACATGTTTGCATAGAGCTAAGACTACTTGCCTAGTACTGCGATTGTTAGCTCTACCTGGTGTCTGTATTCTATAAATAGCATTTCCTTTCCTCCCTGGCCTTTTGTCTCATTCCTCCAATTAATAACTTACGATCTCATGAAACGTTCTTAAACATAAATCACTGGGATTTCCAGTCGATTCACAACAACACGGATATTCAGTATCAAGAAATCCATTGTATTCTGACTCTTTAGGATATCTACGTGAAATTTTGATGTTATTTGATTTTACACAATTGTACAAATAAGTGTTGAGGGTGTTTTTCTAGTAGGGGTGAGAACACCTGCTCCATCGTAATGGCCTGCTTAGAGCTTGGTAATGGCATCTTAGAGAAAATCTCTGCTGATCCCTTGGTGTGGTCTCAGAGGAGATTGCCATCACCTTTGATATGTGTATCCATTAGGTAAGGAACCAAAAATAATTCAGAATCGCTATTATTATATAGGACTATTAAAGAAATCATCCTCTGTTTTCTGAGTTCATGATCATAATACGGCATTTCTCTCAATGCGCTATGCATTTTATTTACTCTAACGACTCATGACTTTCCCTTGGATATATGGCCATTACATGCTAAGTAACTTGATTGTGCTCCTGGAGTTACACTCTGCTCCTATATGTGATATTACTCCATGCAAGAGTGACCTGTGCTTTAGGTTTACTGCGAGATTTTAGCTGTATTTAACCTTACTCATGAAACGCATCTCATTTTCTGGATTTTTCAAAGTGATAAAGAGATCAGTTAGGGTATAAAATTGTCTTTTGACCGATCACACATTAATCTAATACCTTGCTATGAAATCCAAGATTGGTGCGATCAATTTTTGTTCCCTGCACATGGTAGAAAATTTGTTGGTGTTTTGAATCTCATGTTTTAATTTAACTGCACGCAATCTCAGATACTGTCCTAATAAATTGGCATACAAAGTAACATTGTAAGTTGACTTGACTAATAATGAACAAACAATTGTATATATGTTTGTATGTCTTCTATTACTGGGCGACTTCAGATGCTATGTTTAGTGATATTACAGAATGTGCAGAGTTCAAGGGAGAGGTCATTTTGGTAGCAGGTTGGTAGACTAGTGTTTATATTGTTTCGAGATGAAGGACTTTGTTTCTCTGCTGTCTTCATTGCTGCTGTCCTGAAATTTGAGTGAGTAGGGAGCCCCCTTGATTGCACCCTGTCATCCAGTTGCTTAACTGCCTTGGATGTTGTTTTAATGGGTTCTGATTTGGCTTTCTCACGTAACTTTATCATACAAGACTTGGCAAAAATGCTGTGGTGAATGTTTTTCTTAATCTGTATTTGCACCAACCAGCGTTGACTTTCATGTAATAAAATATTCTATTCTTGTTGAAGCGATTAAACATTGCAAGGTCTCTGTTTGGTAAAATGAATAAAGTATTCAAGCTCCTACATTGATGAGCAGCAATGGCTCGAAGGCATTTTTGAATGTTGACTTACGAAGCAATTTTCTTAATTATTCAAAAGGAATTAGTCTTTCAGTGTTCTTCCATATTGGACATCTTTATTTGTGAATGGGCTCTGTAAATTTGCCATGTAGATGCATATATTGTTGTATGGAGACACATTAAACCTTTTGACCTATATGCCGCCTTCTATTTTTGACCCTGTAGAAAGAATCATGTAAAGTTGTACAGAATTATTTTTGGATTGCTTTGAACCTATGTTGTGCGAAATGCCAACTTAAAAATTCTAGGACACAAATGTTAAAATTAGAATAAGATTTGGTTTTTGGTGGTGACTCATAATACACCATATCAAAATGTATTCGTTGTATCAAAAGCCTGCCCTCTGCACAAAGCTATATGTTGAATTTATATATTTATATATATGTTTCTTGTTTTGAGAATATCAAAAGTACCGTGTTGCCTGCATATTCAGGATGATGATATACAGAAAATGGACAAGATCCAAATGGAAGTGGGAGGCAAAGAGCCAGCTAAGATTGCTTGGGGTTCCAGCAGGAAGGCTATCCCCACAGAGGTCTAACCACTCAAGTGTGCTCTAAGTCAGGAGGTAGTATTTTCTAGATTTTTTTTTCCTTAAATATTCATCAGATTTCCTCATTTTCCTTTTGCCTGTTTTAGGATGGCTTCAAGGAGCTTCATGATTTGGAGAGTTCATTTGCTTCGTTTCCTATCATATCATTGCAAGAACTTTAGTAAGGATTATTTCTGTCTCATATTTTCATCAATATCATTAAGTGTCTTCCAGGGTGGCAGAATGTATTTTCCAGAAATTTTCAGTTTGAAATTGTTTGTAAAATTGAGTTGAATGAAAAACAAATGCTGACTTAAGAAACTTTTTTCCCCAATCCATTCTTCTTATTTTCTAATCATTACTTTTCTATGCATTTGTGTAATATAAATGCAAATTAGAAAAAAAGACAGCATTTTCTTCATTGTAATTTTTTTTCCCTTTATTGATGTAGAGGTTGTTTTGATATTGGTGAAGATGATGAGGGTTCAAGTAGTCCTACGTCAGTTTCTTTTAAGACCAAGAAAGTGGAAGGAGTGAGAGTGGAAATTCAGGGAAAACTAGCTCTTTACCTTATCATCCCATTTCTAAGCATAAAAAGTTTCTGAGTGTTTCAGTAATACTCGATAATGGTTTTTCTCCTACGGAAGTTACACGTGAAGGAGACAGGTAATTTTGATCATAATTGTAGTTGTACTTTCCCCTAATTTATTTGCTACCAAGAGGTTGTAAATAAGAATCTATGGTTAGCTAATTTTTCCTACTTAGTTCACTTAAAGAAAAATAGATATTATACTGTTCATGTATAGCTTTTTCTCAATTTATCTGAAAATTAAACTGTGACATATTCTGCAAGTTTTTTCCAAAGTTAATCGGAATTCTTAGATATATTATTTAGCTTCTTAGATAATTGTTCTGGACAATTAGAGTAAAACCTCTTAAAAAAATATTGGCTGGTTGTTCTTGAATAATGCAATTCTTAGATGCAATGATTAATAAGGAATTTGTCTTTCAGTGTTCGTCCACGTGTCACATCTTTATTTGTGAATGTGCTCTGTAAATTTGCCCATGTGAGTTGTGCAAGTCACTCTTCTTTATTATGGATGCATAATATAGTTGTACAGAGATACATTAGGCGCTTTGACCTATGCTGCCTTCAATTTTTGACCCTATTGAAAGCATGATGTAACTTCGGATGGAATTATTATTGGGTTGCTTTGAACCTATGTTGCACGAAATGCCAGCTTAAAAACTCCAGAATTGAAATATTAACATTAGAACAAGATATGGTTTTTGGTGGTTACACATGATACACCACTTCAAAATGTCTTCTTTATATCAAAAGCCTGCCTGCTGTCGTGATGTCCGCACAAAGTTATACACTGATTGGTTGTTTATTTTTTTTATTATATATATATATATATTTTCTTTCCATATACATGAGTGAAAAGGTTTGACTATGTCTACTAAATAAGTTTGGTCTCTTGAAATTATTTTGAGTGAATTCTCTACAGCCAAAAAATAAGCCGAGAGGAACTATGGTGGCTCATTGTTGTATTGTAACAGGACTGATGCAAGTAATGTCATGTATTTTTGTTGTGAATTATTTGCTTTATAAAGTCTTACTATCTAAATTAGAGGCATTATTACTTGCTTTATACTTAAATATGAATCTTGTGTTATTGTGTTACATCTGTTTATGCAGCAGAGGATACATCAGGAGCAGTGGTCCAACACAAGGGAAGCTTTAAGGTTATTTAAGCAATCTGAGCCCCAATGTATATTTGCATTAGGGGGAATTGATTTTGAAGTGATCCATTAGTGTTGTGTTGCTTCCTAAAGAAACTCAAGGTGATCTTAACATATACAATTTATACAATTATCAGTTATACTAGCTAGTACATGTTATTTTATGGTCATCAATCTGAAAAGGATAATAAAAGAAGTAAAATATATAAATGGTTAATTTTATCCTATTACCTATCAAATTGCAAGGCAGTCCATGAAAATGAGAATTGATGATTAATTTTACAGATCAGAAATTCTGGGGTTGGCAAGAGTACTCTGCTCTTGAGTTTTTCTTCTGAGCTTGAGTAGTTTAGCTTCTGAGGCTTATGAGGAGTTGGCAATTTCTTTTTAATTTTGTGGCAAGAGTATTTGGTTGAGTTTCACTTTTGGCAGTAATATTTTTATTTTGTGATACAGTATTAACTATTAAAATCATAGTGTAATATATATTAGCTAATTATAAATGCCTATTGATGAAATCTAATTTTAGCTTTATTAATGTTAATGGAGTTAAATCCTTTGAATGCTTGATAGAGCTAAGACCTACTTGCCTAGATACTGCGATTTTAGCTAGCCTTGGTTGTCTTTATTCTATAATATTAATTTTCTCTCTTTTGTCTCATTCTCCAATTAATAACTGACTCTCATGAACCAATTTCTTAAATATAAATCACTGGGATTTTCAAGGTCAATCTCACAACGACCCTAGCAATTCAGTATCCAGAAAATTCATTGTATTTCTGACTCTTTAGGTATCTCGTGAAATTTTAATGTGTAATCTCAGTTTACACAATTGTACAAATATATTGTTGATGGTAGTTTTTCTATGTAGGGTGAGAACACGTGCTTCCATCGTAAACGGCCGCTTAGAGCTTGGTAATGTCATCTTAGAGAAAATATCTGCTGTCCTTTGAGTGTGGTCTTCAGAGGAGATTGCCAGTCACCTTTGATATGGTATCCGTTAGGTAAGGAATCCAAAAATAATTCAGAATCCTATTATTTATATAGGACTCGTTTAGGAAATATCCTCTTTTTTCTTGATTCATGATCTAATAAGGATTTTCTCTTTAATGCGCTAGATTTTATTTTCTGAGCACACACTTGTATTCTATCAACTCATGACTTTCCCTTGGACTATCGTGGCCATTACATGTCTAAGTAACTTGATTGTGCTCCTGGAGTTACACTCTGCTCCTATATGTGATACTCTGCTCCATGAGCAAGAGTTACCTTTGCTTATAGGTTTACTACAGAGCATTTTACTGGTGAGTTAACCTTACTCATGAACCATTCATTTCTGGATTTTTTCCAAAGTGATAAAGATATAATTTAGGGCATAACATATATCATATTTTGACGATCACAATTTAATCTATAACTTGCTGAAATCCAAGATTGGTGCGATCAATTTTTTGGTTCCTGACATAGTATGAAATTTGTTTGGCTTTAACTTCATGTTTTTAATTTGACTGCAGCAATCTCCAGACACTGTCCTAATAAATTGGCATACGCAAAGTAACTGTTGGTAAGTTTGAATTTGATCCTAATAATGAACAAAAAATTGTATATTAATTTCTTGTATTTCTTCTATTCTGCGACTTCAATGTGCTATGTATATGATATTACAGAATGTGCAGAGTTCAAAGGGAGAGGTCATTCTTGGTATGCAAGGTGGGGTAGGACTAGTTTCATATTGTTTCTGAAGATGAAGGACTTTGTTTCTGCTGTCTTCATTGATGCTGTCCTGAATTTGATTGAGTAGTGGAGCCCCCTTGATTGCACCTTCATCCAGTTGCTTTACTGCTTGGATTTGTTTTATGGGTTCTGATTTGGCTATTTCTCAAGTATGTCATCAAGCAACTTTGCAAAATGCTATTGTGAATATTGTTTTAATTCATTATTTGCACCATCAGCGTTGATTTTCATGTAATAAAATATTTATTCTTGTTGAAGATATTAAACATTAGCAACTCTCTGTTTGGTGAAATGAAATAAATTATTCAAGCTTCCTACATTGAATGAGCAATGGCTTGAAGGCAGGTTTAAATGTTGATTTACGAAGCAAGATTTTTCTTAGAAGAATTATTTTTGCAGTAATTTTATGAGTTTTAGTAAACATTTATGTTACTTTTAATTTGTAATAAATTTGTGTAGAATATGAATATACTAGTAATATCTATAACAGAATAATTATATATGTAGTCGTGAGAAAATAATGTGATCCATTACTATATAGTGTAGAGACGTGATAGTTGCAAGGCCCTTCTATTGACTGATACTTGGTTACAGTTCAAGTTTCAATTTTCATTTGGAATGTAGAAACATAACAAGTCTTAATCTCTCTAATTAACTGGTTTCCTTTTTCCTTATAGGAACCCATTAGCTGTATCTGCTTACTTTTCTTTTGCTGGCTTTAACCCCTTAGCCAATAATTACTAACACTTTTTATGTACATGAAATTTTAGTAATTTGAGGAATGCTATGGAGCGAAGTGACAAATTCATGGTAGATTATGGTCCATATTTAACTCGTAATAAATGGCCTGGAGTTATATGTGACTTAAGCATTCTTGGGAATATTTCTTAACAGGAGGATGGCGAGAATCATGCTCCCAGTGAAATCATTCAGCTGATTCTTAGAACTTATATGAGTCAAATTCTTAATAATCAAGTTTTCACTACCTTTAGGTGTCCTTTATAGACTCTTGGTTCTTATGTTTGAGTCCAATTAAGAGGATACTTCTAAAGACAACGAGGAAATCTGATGATGGAAGGAAGAATGTGCTCATTATTACATCAGAAAAGAACTTAAAATACTGAACCTTCTTACTGGGTATAGAAGCTTTGTGTTATGGCCTGCTATGAAATTATGCTCTCTTAATGTTGTCAACCTAAAGGTATATTTTCCTTCTTGACAAATTTGGTAGAGTAAGATGGCAAGGGTTCGGATTTTCAACACCTGAGGAATTATCATCTCTTCTTTCTTGCACATCACTCCTTTTACAAGGGGAATGAGGTAACCAAAGCACATAGCATATTCTTAAATTTTAGATCATCTTGAGTTTAAAAAGCAAGACTCTTGAATTCAGTGTCCTGTCAAGTTTTGTAATTCTGTGAAAAAGATATCTGGTTACAACTTTCCTTTTGTCAAAGAACATAATTTATACACTGCATTTGCTTGCAGTGAAAAGCATGGCTGAGAATTCTCGTTGCCAAAGGTGGGAATTACCTGAGTATTTTAAGCATAATGAGAGAATTTTGTTGAAAATAAAAAATGGATTACGTTTAGAGTTGAGTGAAATATTTTTGGAAACTCAGAATTCCTTTTTTTTAATTTCTGTCTTTTGTTCAGCATTGGGTGCAAATATAGTACTTTGTGTAACATTCTGAAGAAACATATTCAATATCAATCATTAACATAAGGAAACATACAAGTAGAATAGTAAACGGAGAAGATAATCTAGTTGGTTAATTCAGGTTAAATCTCATACTGCGAAAATAAGTGGTTTAGGGATCAATCTTCTTCGATACCAACTTTTTTTGGGGGGGGGCGGGATTTGTTGAAGTGCAAAATGGAATTGAAATAATATGTTTCTTTAATTGTGAAACAATATTATGTTTTCTAATTCTAAGAGATTTTAGATATTATTACAATATTATGTTTTTTAATTATATAGCCTAATTTTTGTATAAATAAGCAATATTGATTCAATTATAATCAGTTCAATCTAATTGAATTCACTAAATTATCTCTTTGAGTCTCCTTTGTTCATTATTTCAAAAGAATTTATTTTTTGAATTAGGTTTTCTCACATATCTATTGGCATCAGAGTAAGAGGCTTGAGTTGTGCTTTTTTTTTTTTTTTAATTATTATCTCTAAAAGGAGACAAATGGCTCTTTTCTGAAAGGCAAAAAACTTTGATTTGCATTTGTGTGATACAAAATGAGTTCTTGAACTGTCTATATGAGGCTTGGAAGTGATTCTTTCAAATAAAGATATATTCTTCCTTTTAATTAAGAAATAGAGGAGCTAAGAAACACTGAACAAACCCAATGTACCCAGAATTTTAAACAAACAAATGCTAATAAAATGATAAGATAATAAAAAGGAAAAAGTTAAAAAGTAAGAGAAGGATCAGTAGAGAACCAATAAAGAAATGACACGGAATTTTCTTAGAAACCATTTTTAATTTGAATGTATAATACAAATATATCTTTGGTTTCCCTCCATAAATAGAGACAGAACATCCTAGCTAACGTTTATTAATTTCAATATAACGCGATTTGTGTTTTCTTTTCTAAATAAATGATAATAGATTATAATTCTCTCCTAAGTCACATGCCTTACAAGAAAAGTTGAGCATAAGTAGGTGTATGAGTATCTACCGGAAGTCATATGCCCTTCACTCAATCAACTCAAGAAAAACCTCAATTAATATTCATGCTCACTTTCAAAATTCGAAATCCAGCTGTTGAAAGATTCATTTCCTTATAACCACATGATTTTGGAATAAATTCATCTCATAAAATTCAAATATGTAACACTCCCTATAAATACTAAATTAAAACCCAAAAAAAGAAGCTGGGAGTTTTTTGGGGAAAGACTAATATTGAGAACAATAATACTACACTCACAAACCATTCTCACTAAATTTCTCTTACAAATTTGACGTGTCAATTCGTAATTGGTCAGTTCGTAATGGATTCTATTTACCCATCAATGGGTCTCACATAACCAAATGCGAACTGACTAATTGCGAACTGCCACGTAAGCGTTTGTGAGAGAAAGTTGTGAGAAATGTTTCTCAACCTATCTTTATTCTATTGAGAAAAGAGAGAGCCGATTTTGGTTATTGTATTCACTTATATCACTCTGTCTTCAATAAAAAAGAGGAAACCTTAGTGGACGTAGGCTCTGTTCAGCATTGAGCCGAACACTTAAAAAATTCATTTTTCTTTATCATCCCGTTTAACATTAGTTATTCGCACTCCGACATTGTCTAGAAGAATCGTGCTTCTCATCATCTCTGCATAAACACAATGGGCCGATCCAGCTATTTTTTCTAGCTTATATGAGGCCGAACTACAACTTCTTCAACAATTGTTTTGGGCTGCAAATTCAAAACCCAATTCATTGATAATTTCTGGGCGAAAACCCAATCTCATGTACGTATGAAATTTGAAGATATTACCAATAAGTATATAGGCTCTATTTGGTTCACAATTTTGTGTTTTATGGAAATTTTTTTTGAAAAAAGTTAAAAAAAAAGTTGAATTGGGTAGGTATTACGATGTAGGATTTATAAATTAATAAAATACCCCTTATGTTTTTTTTTTACAAAATACCCCCTATAATAAAACATTAAAAGTTAACAAAAACACCCTCAACCCACCCTCAAATACGGACAGCCAGCCACCACCGCCGGAGGGTGGTCGGAGTCGCCGTATCGAAGCATGACCGGTTGAATCTTGCTGGTCGTTCGTTGATATGACCTTTTCCGGTCAGATCTACGGCTAGATTTGGCCATTGACGACCAGATTTGGCCGTATTTGCTCGTTAACGATGGCCAACAAACGGTCGTCGTTGATGGCCAAAGATCCGGCTATCAACGGCCAGATCTTTGGCCTTAGATCTAACCGAAAAAAGTTAGATCGACGCACTACCGGCCAGATTCAGCCGGTAGTGTGCTACCCTACCAGATTTCGGCCATTTTCCAGCAGTGGTGGCCGGAATCTGGTAAATGAGGATTATTGGGGCGTTTTTACAATTTTTTAAAAAATATTTAGGGGTATTTAATTAAATTAACAAATTTAGGTGGGTTTAAGAAAAATTGAATAATATTGTGAGTTTTTGGATATTTTACTATTTAACTTTTTTAGGAATACTAAAAGTAGTATTCCCAACTGGCAACCAAGCGAAGCCATAAAGTTTAAGGATTGAATCCCAACATAACAAGAAATATATTTTGTCCTTATGCTACTATCTTCATGTTTATATTCATAAAGTACTTTGGTTTTATTACATTTATATATATATATAATTTTTTTTTTTTTCCTGAAAGAGTCTAAGAAATGTTTGATCTTATAAACTCTTATATTATCAAGAGTAAATTGTTATGCAACCAAAATTTTTATCCGTAGATCACATAAAACTCTTGATTTCATTTTGTATGACTTATTGAAGTAAAACTTACCAAAATTAGTCTTATAAAAATGATGCTTTCATAAAAAATAAAAATAAAAATTGGTTTGTTGTTTGGTTTAATATATGTAAAAAAAAAAAAAAAAGCCTTTTGTACTAAAAGGTACATTACTATAAAGGAAAAAAATAACTTAAAATTTTTGAATTACGTGGACACATATTTAACATTTTAAATGAACCAAAAAAAAAAAAAAAAAATTATAGAAGAAGCTTTTAAATTGAAAAACAAATTCATTTGATCACCTATAATTTTTTCTTAAGCTACAGTCAAACAACATAAATGAACTTACAAAATAGTTTTTATTGGATAAGGGGTACACCTATGATGGGTTACCCCAAGCGACGTGGGTGAGATGAAACTGCCAAATGCAGTTTCTCTCTAACCGCTGCCATATAAAAGGAAAACTTTTTCCTTTTAGAAATGGTTTTTTTACGAACACTGTTACTCTAAAAAACGAAAAGGAAAAGTACGCTCTCTCGAAAACGAATTTTAAACAAACAAATGCTAATAAAATGATAAGATAATAAAAAGAAAAAAGTTAAAAAGTTAGGGAAGGACCAGTAGAGAACCAATAAAGAAATAACACGGAATTTTCTTAGAAACCATTTTTAATTTGAATGCATAATACAAATATATCTTTGGTTCCCTTCATAAATAGAGATAAAACGTCCTAGCTAACGTTTATTAATTTCAATATAAAATGACTTGT